TTATACTATATATAGGAAGACTTCCTAAGTCGACGATAGCTCTATTCGCATATACTATTAAGTCGCGAAAATACGGACTTTTAAGCTTATAAAATAGGATATTATCGTAAGTCACCTAGTAGATGAGCAGCTGCTAAAAGCGAATAGGTTTAAAGGACGCGACGAAAGTATTTATTAGAGCTTGTTCCCTAGGCTGGTAGGAATCTAGGTTAATTATATCGAGCAAAGTGCGTTATTTCTTTCTCTAAGCTAGTATCGGCCCGTCCTTATTGATGTGGTGAGTAACTGCTATATAGGCGCTCGCTTAGCTCGTAGATGCAGCGTCGTATATATACGTTACGGTGGCCCTCTTCCGGTGATATATCTTATATAGCTAAAATCGATGACTAGAGCTGTCTTTCTTAATGTCGTATCTATGCTCCTATATCTAGCTCATTCGCGGCCTTTTCCGACGCTTGCTAATAGAGTAGCCCGATACTCGGTTCTAGTTAATGCCCTCGTAGCTAACGTGGTCGACCGCGAACGATGCGTCGTCTGCGATCTCTCTTGTTAGATCCGATGTACTGGATTAGGGAGCATTGTCTATGATACTAGAAGAAAAAGCACGCGCCTGAATTACTGGCACGATATTTTTTTCGGTATTAGGAGATAGGGCTATACTAGATTATAAAGTGCATCCGCGCGAGAACCGCGGATCGGGTTAATGCTAGGGGAATGGCCTGGGAAACGCTGCGCAAATTTGTAGGATTATAATTAACGATGCGTAAAGCCGCTGGTGCGCGCTAAGATGAAAATTTGCGCGTCACGCGTTAAGGTTCGACCCTAAGCCTCTTCCGGTCCCTAAGTGGGAACTTAAAACGAGGATTAACGAGGTCTCGTCGGCAGGTTTAGTGGGCAGAGGCTTACCCTAAAGCTGCTATTTAGATAGTTAAATATCTAAATAAATCCGACCTCTGCGATCTGATTTGATCTAAATATGTTGTAGGTTAATTTGATTTGATTTGAATAACCTAAGAGGCGATTTGATTTAATCTGATTTAGATATATCTGATTTGATTTAAATGTATCTAGATTTAATCTATCTGTTTGTAAGTCTGCGCCGCGCTGACATGGCCGGCGACTCTAGCTTATAAGTGCTCGGCCCGCCGTTGGCCACGTCCCTTGGCTGCCGGCAGCGCGTTGATCGAAATGTTTGGTGGCTATAGTAAATGCTCCTTAGAAAGTCCCGGAGGAATGTTCCCCTAGGTTATTAAGGGAAAGTTTAGGCCGTGTACCGCGGCGCTTTTAAAATTGCCCTTATATAGGAAGAGCTTTTAGTCGTTGTATGGAGTTCTCTACTTGAGTTTAAGCTCGGCCGGCTATTAGCGGGTTTCTGATTCTTAAATAGGGTGTTAGTTACTATTAGCTAGTACTCTCGCGAAGGAGAGATTAAAAGTAGGCATAAAAGTAAATAAAGGTGTAACGGGCAAGCCGCTTGCTTTAACGGCGGCTGCGCCGCCTAGCTTCTAGAACCTTCTATTAGCTCGAAGCTATAAAATTCTATTATACTCTTATTTAGTAGATTCTCTTTCTTTCTTTCTTCTCTAACTTAATAGTAAATAGCGTAGGGACTAGTTAGTTAAATTAATTTACTAGAGGCCTTTTATAAAAGGGACTTTTAGTAGGTAGGTTCCTATATATAGCTAGGTAGTATGGTTTTTAATCTAGACCCTTATTAATCTAATTAATTAATATCGCGGATTAAATTAAATTAAATTAACTACTAGATTATTAATCCTAGTTAATCCGCGTAGCGTTCCTTTACTATCTCTTATTAGCTTCTGCTAGTTACTAGCCCCGTTATCTAGCTAATAAATTAAATTAAGGGGCGGCGCCTTAAACGGCGGATTATAGCGCTATAAGGATTAATAGATTAAACTTTATTTAATCTAAGCGCCGGTAATCCTTATTATCGGTAAATAAAGATCGATAATTACGCGCTTATCTAGAAATTATTTTCTTTTAATTACCTAAAGTAGTTATATTACTAGCCGGAACCCCCCCCCTATCTTTTAAGTAAATAGTAGATTTATATAGGTAATCCGTTAACTTTATACTTTATATACTATCCGTTCTATAAGTTAAATACTATACTCTCTTTAATATTTATTATAGAAACTAAACTTAATTTATCCTTTATAATACTTTCTATTAATAATTTAAACGGAATTAATATAAATACTATATCTAAAAATATAAGAGGTATTTTAGCAATTATAACTAGGGAATATTATTGTTTACTAGGACTATATAAACCTAATAGAGCTAGTAAAAACCGACTCTTTTATTATAAGTATTATATAGATAGCTATCGATACTAAGCGAGTAATACCTTTCGAGCGTACCTTATAAAGATTTATAGGATTATTATAGTAGAAGTACCTTATATTTTAAATACGGTATTTAAGTAGCTTAAATAGCTTTACCTTAAGGCTATATTAATAGGGTAGATAGAGGTAATTAATAACTATATCCTTTATAAGGTGCTTAATAAGGAAATTATTATAGAGGCACTTACTATATTAATTATTACGCGAAATCTATCTTTTTATATCGTTAAATAGCCTAAGTTTTACGCCCTTTATAAAGTACTTAATCTAAAAGTAGATAGATATATTATAACTATATACTTTAAGATTAAGAAAGCGATCTATATAATATATAAATCTTAAAAGGATCTTATATAAAAGGCGCTTTAATTATTAAGTTTAAGTATTTATCTAGTAGTTAATATATAGACTTTTTTAAATAGGCTTCTTCTTCTTAGAATCTATACTTACTTTATTATATAAGACTAGGATAAATTATCTAAGCTTCTTATCGGTCTTCGTAGGATTCCTAGCTACTTTAGATTAAAGTAATTCTACGCTATACTACTAGTCCTTAAGGACTATAGTATCTTTTAAAAGGTTAGATCTATCGTTAGCGATAATGTAAGCTCTAACGATATACTTTACTATATAATAAGCGAATACCTTAAATAATAAGGTATTAATTAAGATCTAGTTATTTACTATATACGTTATATTAGCTATATTATTAACTTAGCTATTTAGGCCTTTCTCTTTTATAACTTTATATTAATAAAAGAGTTAGACTTATATAAAGAGTAGGAGATTATAGCTTAGGATAGTATAGCTAGATCTACTAATAAATCCTTATAATAGTTATTCTAGAAAATAGGTCTACTTAGTAAGCTTTATAATATTATTATCTTTATTTAAGCGTTAAGCGGCTATACCTAAGCTTTTATTAAGCTAGTAAGGCGACTAGTTCTATTAGATAATCGTATAAGATAGAATAGCTAGACTAATATATATAAGGTTATACTTTAGTATAAAGGAAAGATTAATAGATTCTATAAAGCCTACTAAGATAACCTTAAAGACGACTTCCTCTCCTTTTTAGACTAGTAGAAGATTTAAATAGTCTAGACGTTTTTAGCACTATTCTAAGAGGCAACTTTATATTACTAAGGATATAATATAATAATCGACTTTATACTCTTTACTATAAATATACTAATTAAGTACCTTAAAGGAGCTTTATTTAAATTTAAGGCTAATAAGGAGCTTTATTTATAGATTTAGAGTAGCTAGGAGACCCTTAATAAGTATTATAATAAGATAAACGACTCTCCTCTTTATACTACTAATATTATACTTAATCTAGATTTTTATATAAAGTATATCTAAAGTAACTAGAAAGCATCCTAGTAAAAGAAAGTAATTAATAACGTTAAGGAGCTTTAGCGGAGCTATTAAGATAGCAATCTTAGTACTATACTATCGTACGAAGCTAAAGCTAGTCTAGAAACCCGAGAGCTAGTATCTATATTTAATAGGATCGCGCGAGGCCTAAAGGATTACTATTAGCTATAAAGCTAAGATAAGTTCGATAATTATTATAACTAAGAACTATATAGGCTCGGTAAGATAACTACTATTAAGTAGTAGCTATAAGACTAATAATAAATACGCTTTCTATACCTTTCGATTATAGTAATTAATATCCTTTTAATTCTAGTAATAAGTAACGAGGTAGAGCGAGTTTTTTTAAGAGCGCGTTATATAATCTAATAGGATAGAGCATAGTTATTAGTAGAAACTATTAAAATACTAGAATATATAAAGAGTTAGCATCGAAGTCCTTATATTAGACTTTAAAGATAATAGTATAGAGTAGTTAATTAAGTATCTTTCTAAATACTACGCTATAGCGCTCCTTTACTTAGTTATCCTACTAAAATAGATTATTAAATTAGTAGCGCCTCTATAGTAGTTATAGCACTATATAGATTAATAAGATTAATAATCTTACTAGTTAATTTAATTAGTCTATTAATATCGATTGATTAGGATTAACTAGATCGAAAACCACACTGCTTAACAATCCTTGACTCTGGAGCCACTCTGCATATTTCTAACTGCCTCCATAAGTTCCGATCCTTTAGGAAGGCAAGGGGCGAATACATTATTGCCGGAGACACAGAAGTCAAAATCCTAGGATACGGCAGGATCAACCTGACTCTTACAAAGCCCGACGGGTCACAGGGGCTTCTACGTCTTAAGCACGTGGCCTACTGCCCTACCTTCGCGACAAGCCTTGTTTCCTTCCAGCGTCTTCTGGACCAAGGAATACATTGGGATACCTTAAAGACCCCTACACGGCTAGTCCACAAGAGCGGCAGGACCGTTGGTCTGCTAGAACGGAAATTAGGCCAATTTGTTCTCAGCTATCGACCTATATCGAAAGACGATATCGAGGCGGCTTTTATAGCTAAGCAGGCAAGAGCTTCATCCAAGGACCCTAGACCGGCCTCCCCTGGCGATGGTCCACTCTGGCACAAACGAATGGGTCATCCAGGACCCTTAGCCCTCGAAAAGCTTGGGACGAGCTCACTTGGAGCCCGATTAAGAGGTCCAAGAACAGCCGAGTGCCAAGCCTGTGGCCAAGCCAAGATGCATCGTCAAATTGCACGGAGACCGCCGACCCGTACAAGGGACCAGCCTTGCCAGGAACTCTGGATTGACTGGACCGATCTAGATCCTAATTTTGAAGACTACGTACGAATTATGTTCGTTACAGATGCCTATTCAGGCATGGTCTTCCCCTATTTCATGCGGACCCACGGATCAGACCAAGAGAGCCTAGCTGTTCTTAGGGACTTTGTGGACTGGATGAAAAATAGACACGGATTTTGTGCCAAGGTCATACGATCAGATGGCGAGCTTTTCACCAAAAGGGTCCGAGGCTGGCTGAGGCAACAGGGAATAACGGCAGAAAAGTCGGCCGCCAATACCCCGGCCCAGAATGGAGGTGCCGAAAGGTCAGGGGGTGCCGTAACAGAAAAATCCCGAGCAATGCGGATTTCGGCCAACCTGCCTCATGACCTTTGGAAGGAAATTGTCGAAGCCGCCTGTTACCTCAAGAATAAGACCCCTCGCGAATCCAATGAGTGGAGAACACCACACGAGCTATTCTTCAAGAAACAGCCGCAGCTAGCACACCTTAAGGCTTATGGCTGCCGGGCCTATGCGATGACATCAGAAGCCCAGCTCAAGCAAAGGCGACTACGGAAGTTAGACCCAAGAGCCCATATCGGCTACCTAGTTGGCTACGAATCGTCCAATATCTTCAAGATCTGGGTCCCGCACAAAGGGAAGGTCATCTTGACCAGAGACGTCATCTTTGATGAAGGCACCTTCTTTGACGGAAAGGATATACAGCCCGAACTGCTAGAGACTATCAACCAGCTAGTACAGAAGGTGGAAGTCCCAGAAAGTCAACAATCCAACGCTCAGGCCTTGGAAGAAGAGATCGAAGATGACGCCCAAAGCACCATCTTTGTCAATACAGACGAACTAGGAAATGAAGACTTGACCGACAAGGAAGACTATGATCGGTTGAGAGACCTCGAAGCAGCGCTAATCTCACCTCCGCCATCAGAGCCCGAAGAGTCACTTGAGGCAGTATTTTCAGTCCATCTGCCAGTCTCTGTCCCTGAGGGGGTGGGAGATCAGCCCATCCGCAGGAACCCCTGGAATTGGCTACCTTCTCTGACCATACAGGGACAGATCATGAAGACCGTTTTCAAGATTTTAATCCCGTGCGGATAGAAGACGGTTCACATGGGGCCTTCACCGCAGGAAGGCTATTTAAGCCAAACAAGGTCCACAAAAGGAGCCTGCCGGATCCCCCTAAGACGATGAGGGACCTTGAAGGTCACCCATATAAGCAGGACTTTATCCAGGCCCAGAAAGATCACCTAGCCTCCCACGAAGCAATGGGTTCCTTCCTAGAAGTCCCGTGGAAGAAGGCGAAAGGGCAACAGGTCCTAGGGTGCATGTGGGTCTTTGTCTATAAGACTGACAAACACGGCTTTCTCGTTAAGTGCAAGGCACGCCTGGTTGTGTGCGGCAATCAACAGGCAAAAAGAGACTTGCCTACGCGAGCTACAACGCTAGCCAGCACCTCATTTCGAGCCCTAATGGCTATAGCTGCTGAATTCGATCTCGAACTCGAACAGATGGATGCAGTCAATGCGTTTGTTAACTGCCCGCTAGAAGACGAAGTGGTCTATATAAGAACGCCACCGGGATTTACCAAGCCAGGCAGAGTCCTAAGGCTTCGGAAGGCTCTCTACGGACTACGAAGATCGCCTCTTCTATGGCAACAGCACCTTATAGGATCCCTAAGGGACCTAGGGTTCTAGACAATCCCGCAAGAGCCCTGCGTTATAACAAGCCAAGGAGTCATTGTCTTCTTCTACGTAGATGATATTATTTAGGCTTATAGGAAGTCAGACCAGAAGATCGCAAAGGCAGCTATTGCCGGCCTACAAGAGCGGTACACGATGAGTGAGCTAGGAGACCTAAAATGGTTCCTAGGGATTCACATCATACGTGATAGACGCAACAGGCTGATTTAGCTGACGCAAGATTCCTACATTGATAAGGTTGCCAATAAATTCCTCAGTATCGGACATGACTCAAAGCCTCCAGACACGCTAATGTCAGAACAGGAGCTCTTTCCTGCTCTTGTCTAAGCAGACAGGCGATCTAGAGAGCTATATTAGCAGAAAGTCGGCTCTATTCTATTTGCGGCTATTTCTACACGACCGGATGTGGCCTTTGCAGCTTCGAGGCTGGCCCGTCACAATCAGAATCCGGATCAAACGCACTATCAAGCAGCTAATAGGGTTATCCAATATCTCTATAGCACTCGGTCCTACGGAATTAGACTAGGTGGGACGAGGACCGCAGAAGTATTTCTCTATGCGAGCGATGCCTCATTTGCGGATAACACACTCGACAGAAGGAGCTCATAGGGCTACTGTATGTTCTTATTCGGCGGACCTATTGCTTGGAGAGCTGCAAAGCAAGCTACCGTCACAACGTCGAGCATAGAAGCCGAGCTCCTAGCTCTATCAGAAGCAGCCAAGGAAGCTATCTTTATAAGCCGACTGCTCAACGAGCTAGGCCTATAGATTTAAGATCCGTTACTCGTCGAGTGTGACAACACACAGACGATACGGCTTCTCGGCGAGACTTCAATAAAGCTGTCAATAAAGCTACGGCATGTTGATATTCATCAACATTGGCTACGCCAGGAATGCCAGGAAAAGAGGATCTAAGTCCGATAGGTTCTAACAGCTCAAATGCGTGCAGACGGCTTAACTAAATCCCTGCCTAGGCAACGGCATAGTGTTTTTCAAAGGATGCTATAGATGGAAGATATCACAGACCGCATTAGACTTGAAACCCGCACGGAAAATCTGCGAGACCAGATAAAGGAGGCACAGGCAAGACGAAGAGACGATCTTATCGAAGGACAAGCTCGACTGGGATATTCCCAAGGGCTAGAGTCACCCAAAAGAACCTTGGCTATGGCGAAAGAGGTAGCTAAGCCCTCTTACTAGGTCTCAGCTAAGGGGGTGTGTTGGATAAACTACGCAATAATGTCGCTGCCATATTACTAAGGATTAAAGCGATGGTGTCGAACGTTCTAGATAACAACGTCACCTAAGCAGCCTAGGTGGCAAGTGGCAACATCGCCACCTAAGGCAAAACAAAGCACTATAAGAAGTAAACTTCTTACCATAATTTAGACAGACAATCAATCATCTTTTTTCATCCACTGTAACCTGTCAGTTTTAACTGACACTCTTTGCTCGAGTCGCGCTGGCATACATCGCAGAGCCGTGGCAATCGCCTCCAGCTCCGCGACATATGGGTTTTGATCTTCTCGCGGCCCCAGAGTGATGGAATAGCTCGCCAGTGCTTCTTGCTCGTTGTTGACTCTCGTATCTCGAACACAGCCTCCCATGCCGACTACGCCTCGCCTTTCGGATGAGCTCGTCGCGACGACAATGCCTTGAGCTTTCGCAACCAACTCAGCTGCCTGGTCATCATCGAGGTCACAGAGAACACGAATGCGGTCTTCCCACGGGGCCACCGCATATTCTCTGATGATTTGTGCCGCCTCGTTCGATCAAGTGCTGTCTCCAAATCACGGCTCTATCCCACGAGCGGAAAAAAGACAAGAATGGTGTAGGCTCCCTGGTCCAGGAGAGATGCGCGTCAAAGCTTTCTCAAGATGGGGTGAGATCCGTGCCGCGGGATACCATCCCATCTGCGCCCCTCCGACCCATCGATCGGTTAAAGTAGGAACTGTTTGTCGCATCGTGACACTCGACACGAAAACCAATCGCGGCTCGCACCAATGGGGGCTGTGCACCGTCGAAGTCGGTGTCCATACTGGGACATTTGAAAAGACGGCTCGCTAATCTGATGGAGCCAATACTTGAAGCAAGGCCGAAACACTGAAATCTCGCGGGGTCGTTTGCTTCGATTCTTGAATCGAGGCCGAGTCGAGGCCGAGTCGAGGCCGGCCTTTTCGGTAGCTTTGGCTTTATGTACTTGAACTGTCGGGCGTCGGGCCAACCTTACGGATTTGTCGCCACTGTAGCCTTTCCTCCTCGACGGGGGTGCTGCCATGATCTACCCTTTCTTGTAAGGTTCCGCGCAGAGCGTATTCGAATCATCATAAGCAGAGAAAACTCAACCCGATATGAGATTGAGTTTTGCCGGGGGAGGTTATAAGCGTTCACCTGTGATGATGGTTACGGAATCGTAATCGAAACCTTGAAGGAAGAGGAGAGAAAGCAAGGAATCTCGTCCCAATGCCAGCCCTCGGGATGTTCGGATGTTCGGGATGCTCGGACGTTGCGATTTACTTCCACTGGAAACGATTTTACAGTAGCTTCGCCGGTGTGTGGCAGTTGCCACAGGCGCTGGGCAATTTCGAAAGCTCAACACAAGACCCGTAATCACTGGAGCAGCGGTGCCAGGCGCTAGTCAAGGCCATGGCAAGGGCGATTGGCATCACCCATCGACAGCACTCACGGGAGGGGAACACTGGCTATGGTGGCTGGCCCGGTTCCCGCCATTGATTTTCCGAGCTACCGGGGGTTCCAGTCGTAAGACATGCCGCGACAGCAACCGGCATTCTGAGTTTTAGTCACATTAAGTTCGCTGTATAATACATCGGCTCATTCAGTCTCACGAGCTCCTCAGGATACTTCAAGAAGTGTGCCAGGATACATACAATTGAGACAGGTATGCATGAACGGCGTGCTGAGTATCCAATTTCGTTCGCTTCCAGTGCATCCCACGCGGACCACGACGCTGCGGGCACGGGAAAAAATAAGAAGGCCTTCCAGTGTCGAGTAGGTACATCAATGAAAGCATCGACGAGAGCCGGTTCTGCTCAATTTCTTTCTGGTGTTCTCAACTACGTGTAAGATATACCAGGCTCTCAATAAAGCTCCAGAAGCGACGCTCAAGTCGTGACATGAAGGATAGGCATTCGATCTCCGACTCCGGCGGGTGTGTACTTGCTTGTGTGTTGGGAAGCGGCGACTGCAGGGCATCATCCCACCTGCCGGCCCGTTCTTGCATATTTTCGCGCTTCAAGGGCAAGACCCGAGCTCTTTGTCTCTCCTCCAGAGTCTTGCGATCAACCCGCTTCCCTTTTCTGAGAGCCTCCAATTCTCGGTTCTGTCGTTTGGCAAGCGATACGATGTCTGCCCTCTCGCAGACGCGCAACTTGCTTTTCTCTTTTCTGTGCTTCCTCGCAAGTTGCTTTTGTTCTCTGACTTCCTTTTCCCGGGCTTCTGTTCTTTTCTTGTCGTTCTTCTTTAGTTCTTGCCTTCTCCTCTTGTGCTGCTCGCAAAGATCTTGGCGATCCTTGGATTGCTTTCTTCGGAGTGCGTTCTTCGCTTCCGTTGCCTTGGCTTCCATTTGACATCTTTCTTGCGCATGCCGTTCTCGAAGTTCATGTTCTTCGATACCTTTTTCATTGTTTGACAGTGCCGACTGTGCGCCTCCCCTGTTCATCTTAGATGACTTCGAGCTTGCTTCCTGGTTGTGAGAGAAAACCCTGCTTTTATCGCACACACCGATGATTTGTGGGGACCCGATGTCCCTCCATCTGTCTGTACAAGTCACAATGCCGAAGGTAGAGACCCAAGCTGCAACCCCGTCTTTTGGCCACAGCTGATAAGTGAAATCCGCTGCGTCGGGCACTCGCGGGTGTACGATACGAATAGCATTTACACCTTTGTTACCAGTTGTTCCCTTGATGATGGGCTGCTCTATTGTTTGGAAGCTGGTTCCTTCTGACGGGTGGAACCGCACCGGAGGCGGCCTCGATAAGACAGTCACAGATTCGGCCTCGCTGATGAGCCAAGCGAAGATCGCCGACGCCCCATGAACATAAGTCGACCACTGCTTGGGAGACTTTTGCTTTTTCGGGCAGAGGGCGTTGTTGGTATCCATCAGAGGTCCCATTGCTGTTGCCAACGTCTGCAACCCGCGTTCGTCAGCCCAAGCCTGTGCGAACTCACGCGGCATGCCAGTCCAAAGAACTTGGTTATTCGGGATGCATGTTCGGCGAAGCTGCTCGAGTATTTGGTAGATTTCGTCGCCGGTAAGGTGCTGATTGATGAACAGCTTGACTTCGCGAGGTATTTCTTCATCCATTTGATCTATAAATTCTGCACGATTTTCGATACAAGGAGTATTGCTCGTAATGCTGAGTCCAGCGGCCGGGAAACGAGGCGTTGATATGCACGCTGGGATACCTTGAGCGGGGGCGCCTAATACGGCAGGCTATAGGGGTGACTATTGCAAAACCCTAAAATCCGTCACCCAAGTGTCGAAATAGGTTAGCGGCAATAACATCCTGCCCCGCAGTACACTGCTCTATATACCTCAGCGTTTATCTCTTTGAATTTTATCACGTAGCAGAAGGTATAAATATAGCGGCGGGGACGAAGCGGACCAGTAGAGCGCATTTCTATCACGCCCTATAGACATTTGCCGCCACCGTGGCAGTCGAATTAGGCAATATTAACGCTTAATTGTTTACCTCCTCCTCGGCTTTCTCTTTATCGTCCTCCTCGTCCGGCTTATTAAGCCGCTAAGCAGAGGGTTAGTAGTAAAATATATTTAACGACTTAATCCCGCTTATAATCTAGAGCTAAGTAGCCTTACAGTGGGGGGACAAAAGTTCCGGTCAATGACGCTAGCGCGTCGCGTACGCGCGTCTCCCACATTCCAACCCTTCCTCTTCAAATCACCATCATGCCTTCAAAATGAGCCCAATTACGCCCAAAAAACACTGGAGCCCTCATAAGAGGACGAAGATTGTGACCCTCTTTGATTGCGGCTTCTCAGCTGCCCTCGTCGGCGTCAAAGAGGACGTTTCTCCTAGAGCTGTCTACGGAATCGTCAGGCGTTACAGGACACAGTCGAGTGCGAAATCTTTGCCGCGCTCTGGGAGACCCTCAAAGCTCAATGACACCATAAAGATATATCTTTCGATGCATCGCGAAAGACCCTTTCATCTCGAATGCTCAGCTTCTTCGTGAGGCTTCTCTAGAGTGTTCTACACGTACTTTAACACGGTACCTTCGACACCATGGCATACAACATGTACGCGCTCTTCGACGTCCAAAATTAACAGAAGAACATGCTGCAAAGAGGCTACAATTTGCACTACAATACCATCAAAAGCCAGCTTCCTTTTGGCATACATGGATTTTCTCTGATGAGACGTCAATCGCTCGTGGGGACGGCGAGACAGAAGTGGGTTTTGCAATTCAGTACGTCTTAATACCCTTACTTCAAAAATCCCTCCTAATTGCAAAAGGGGATAGATTAAATCCGAAAACGTGCAAGCAAGAGGAAAACCTACTCGACATTCCCAGATGTTTTGGGGCGGCTTCTCCTTTAATCGGCGGACTTCTCTTACACCAATGCTAGGAGACCCCGACTCAGCCCGTGGTGGCGTTACTGCACGCCGTGTGCTCGAGACCTTACAAGAAAGCCTACCTACAATTGCAGAGCCAGGCTATACATTCGCCCAAGATAACGCCTCAACACATACGGCGGCCATTGTGCAGGCGTGGCTTGGCTGCTGGGTCGAAGAAAACAGGGTAGATTTGGTCGACTGGCCGCCATATTCACCTGACCTAAACCCCATAGAAAACGTATGGAAGCTGCTTAAAGAGAGCATTATGGAGACTCACCCTGAGCTCTCAGACCTTCCAAAGAACTATAGCTCCAAGCAGAAGCTCTGTTTTGCAGCGGTTGGAGCGTGGGAAGACCTTGAAGAGGATACCCTCAATCACCTAATAGAATCAATGCCTCGGCGCCTTCAAGCTGTTGTGGCTGCACGTGGCTGGTATACCAAATACTAGCCGAAACAACAATAATCTCCACTCAATTCTCTATATATTTATATCTTCGGCTTCATAATTGACGTTCATTTGGCAAAGTAATGTGCTGTTGAAAAGAGGGCTCTGATGCGGCGTTGTGGTGGGTGGGCCGGATTGACCGGAACTTTTGTCACCCGACTGTAGCAATAACGTACTTCACCACCTAGTTGGCCACACCACCTAGTTGGCCACTAACCTACCTAGGTCTCAACCGCTCCCAATTCTCACCGTCGGAAAACACTCTACAAATCGATAATCAACTAAATAATTACATGAATGGAATCCTTATTTCCCCGGCCTGATCGGGCATTATGCCCGGGCAATCTGCAGATACTGCAGAGCCGTTGTGCGCCGGTTTTCCCGGTCGCGCCAGACTGTACTGCTGACCCCTTGCCACCATTCGCCTTCTCCTCTGCAAGCTGAAGACCTTTCTCCACAGCCAAAACACCTCCATGAGCTACGTATGAGCGTCGCATATCCATCCCTCTTTCTCCTCTATCTTTGGCTTTCGCTTCGGAGTCGCTCATTTTCCTCCGACAGAAGGGCTGCGCCATGCATCGCCATTTGGCATCCCTTGACCAAGTAACGCACTGCCTGATCGGTTGGACTGGCTTGTTCTTGCGCTGCCCTCGTACGATGTTGCTGAAGAGCCTTGACTTGAGCCTCAAGTTCCGTGATGTTGTGAGGCGTTTTGGGTAACAGTTGGCTCCCCGAGCCTTGGGGATCGAGGGTTGTTGGTTGAAGTAGAGGACTTGGTGTCCTTACATTCAGTCGGGAAAGTACCCTCTGCGGATCGTAGGGGACAGTTCCGACGGCCTTAAATGCATTTTTTATTGTCTTCTCTGTAAACGTTATCCGATGGGCTTGGTGGTAGAGGACCAGAAAGTCCGTTTTGTCGATGTGAAAAGTCCCCAGTTCTACTTTCGCTTAGACAAGCCGACTATATGAGTTCTTGAGCGCTAAAAAGCACCCAAAATCGAGAGCTTGTAAGAGATGCGTTGAGTGTGGTGGGTAGCAAAGCCAGACGATTGAATTCTTCTTGCAGAAGTCGTCGAATTCCGGAGTGAAATGGCTGCCGTGACCGTCAAGAAGGAGAAGTCGATACTTCCCGACTGCACGACCGCGTGAGTGTTTGTCAAAGACCTCCGTCAACCACTTAAACCCAAGCTCGTTGTTCGTCCAGCCTTTCTCACTAAGACCAATGACCCAATTGGACGGGATTCCAGTCCGGTACCAGTTCGATTGGTGGACTTTGCCTTCGAAGATGATAGTAGACGGCAGAGCCCAACCAGTGGCATTGATTCCTTCGATGACCGTAACCTAATTCCGATCTCCTGGCTGGACGACCTTTGGGCGACCTGACTTTATATAATCTGACCTTGGCTGCTTTGACGTCGGCCGCTTTGTTTGTGTGACGACCTTGGCGGTTGCAATCACACCCATCTAGAATCCTGTCTCGTTAAAGTTATAAATATCCTCTATCGCAATACCGTATTTTGCAATCGTCGCTCGTTCGAGACTAAACCACTTGCCGATTTCTTCTAGGTCTTCGCATTTCGCCCGTTAGTAGTCGTATTTTCGCAGGTATTTCGACATAAGCACGTCGTGGCGCTGGAAGCGCGTGAGCCAGTTCTTCCCTACCGCCGACCCCGGAGCGCGTTGTGAAAGGAGTAAATCGGCCATTCTTCGAACGAATGGAAGTGTAGGTGAAAATCCACGTTCATCGAGTGAGATGATCCGATTAAGGAGCGCCTGCTCTTCCGTTGCTGTCAATTTGCGATTGTTAACTTAGGCGACGCGCCGCGTGACGCGACCGTGAAGGCGATTTTGCAATATGGCTCTAGTAACATCGTATAAAGTTGCAGCTGCTCGGATACTTGGAACTTGGGATGACTGAATAGCCTGTATAGCAAGATCAATTCTTATTTCGTACGGAATTCTCTGGTTGGTTGCGATTGCGGCCATGTTTTGCTGTGTGGGTGGAGAATCATGTTCCAAAAGGGGGTGGGGCGGCCAACAAGGTGGGGTGGCCAACTAATAGGTGGTGAAGTACGTTAGTCCCTAACGCTATAATCTTTCGTTTATTAGGGCTCTTCTTAGCTATCTCGCTAAAAGAAGCTATAGCGGGAGCCGGACCTAGAGCTATAGGAAGAGCCGCACTACTTCCGCAAGCTCGTAGTTATTATGCTGCGCACTATACAGCTATACGCTAGGCATTATCTAGGTCGGTATTTGCACGCTTAAGCTACCGATTTAGCTCCTAAAAGACATAAATAGCACCTAAAGCATTAAAAAGAACCTAAGGGATTAGCTTAATTAATAACTTATTACCCTAAGTAAACAGAGACGCTTACTAGCTTATATATATAGCCGTTCTTTGCGTAGTCCTAATAGGTAGCACTAGTATCTATTCCGTATTACGTTAGCGTAATATATATTATATCGCACGGAGGATAAGCAAGTGAGCATAAAGATTAGGGACTGGAAGACTCTTGATTTTCCTATCTAGAGTATATAATATGCTGCATCTTTATAGGCGATGCGAATAAGTAACTAGAAGCTGATGGAAGGTTCTGTGACTGTTGAGGTGGTGACTACTGTGCGAGTTAGGGTTTTAGACTGTTAGAGGCTGATGTACTCTGTGTGACATCCCCCCCTAGGTTGTGCTGGCGGTTGGCAGTGCAAACTAAAAGAAAGCTAAATTCCTAGCAAGGTAGAGACATTAACGAGGCCGAGTTATTAGACGAAAGTATTGAATTTCTGGCCTAGTAGAGCCTTTATAAGGCCGTCTGCGATTATCTAGGAAGTAGGCGTATAAACGAGTTTATAGTGGCCTTCCTCGAATGCCTATCTAGCCTAATAAGTGTGAATGTCGATGTAACGAAGGGCGGTGCGAAGGCGAGGTATATCCTATGTAACTAGACGAATAGTCTATGTGTTATTATATTAGATAGTTAGTTTTCCGTCGAGCTTAAGAGAAAGCTGCTTAAATAGACGGAACGTAGCGATAGTCTCCTTAGTTATATATATAAGGGTAAGAAGCTCTGCTTCTATTAACGAGGTCGTAACTATATCCTATTTCCCGGCTTTCTAAGCGATAGGGCCGCTAAAGAGGGTAAGAATTAAACCTTAAGATAACTTACGTATTTCCTTATTATTAGCGAAAGCGGCGTCTAAAGCGCTCTAAAAGTCGATATAATATTAAGCTTAGATTAGAGCAATATAGTCTCCGTCGAGGCTAGAGATGCCTAAGAACTAAAT